GTATTACCTCCTGTATACAAAAGTTATAAAAATCACTTCTTTGCTTAGGACATTACTTATGACCCTGCCGACACAGTATGTTAGTTATTTTTAGCTGGCGATTTCCATTCTATCGTTATGATTTATCTTGACTGATTGATTAAAGAGTGTGTAGTGCGGTATTAATGGCAAATTCATCGGAGCGATACGTAAGGCATTACTCGTTCTGCGTTACAGGCGATTGAATCAACTAATATTTTTATGAAACAATCCGTGTAACGTACGGCGAAGTTCAGATTGGTTGATTCTTCTATCTATATTATTAATGTGATGTCGATTCCGTTTAAAGTAGCCAAGGTATATAGTATATACAGGACGGCATAAGCCAGATTAGGTTTATATAACCCTCGCATATTGCATTCTACAAGGACAGTCACCAGTCCTAAATATATGAATATGATGACAGTAGAATAGAAGAAGTGAGGATTGAGTAAGAATTAACTTTACTTTCTTGTTTCAACCTCGTTTGTCGTTTTCAGTTTTGTTTATTATAACTTGACATAGTGGTAAGAACTTCATAAATTACTATAAACAATTAAAAAATAAGGAACTATTATTAAAATAATATAATAAACATATACTTGTGGTATAAGTATTTTGGTTTTCCCCCAATAAGTCTCTTCTATTCCTGTTGAAAATGTTAACATCCTGTTTTCTTCGTAATTGATTGGATGTGATACCGCGGGTACCACGCCATGCTAAGAGCGTACCGATATTTTTAACTTTACACGTGACCAATTTCAATACCTCAGATTGTAAGAGAACCACTTTAAAAACATTCTAAAGATATACGTATAGACCTACATTCTTTCGTGTTGATGGTAATGATTGTTGCATATAGCTCGATTTAATTTTAATTAACACTTACATCGAATTTGTAACCTACTAAAGTACGAATAGCCATGTAGTTGATTATAATAATAATAATACTGTAAATAATAATAATATTAATAACAGCAAGTTGTATTATTGTGCTCTTATGTATAAGTGTGCTTGACTGCACATTTCCACTCATATACTCAACAATAAAATTACCTTTATAGGTGTTCAGGATCGCGTAACGATAATATACTGATTATTAACCTTATTGTTTAGTGATGGATATGTAACTGCTAATAAACCAAAATTAATGAAGTAATAAACACGGTCTTGACCAGTGGTGGTGTCGCCGGGATTGACCGATGGAGAGCCAAGCGAGCAAAGCAATCGTATTTACCCTTGGGGTCAGAACATTTTAATAGACTTATGCAGTGGTGGATTCGGCTATCTGTCTTTCGGTCACGGACAGATGCGTCTTTGCGACATAGCCCCTTTTTCATGAGGAAAATGATATTAGAAGATATTATGACTAAATTTAAACTGTATCCAACTTTATATGCGATCTAAATTACGTTATTGAATAGTTTATAATACCAAATAGTGACTAAAAAACAACAGAGCACACTCGGGCCCCAGCCCCCTTACCTAGTGTTGTTACTAAACCAGTAATTATTTGCGTCCCAGTCCGCCCCAGTACTTATTTGATTTCAGGATGAAGTCTATTTTTTCAAATGATATTAGATTGGTATCTATAAATTGGTAACTACATGTCTCCTTTAATTCTAGACCAATTCTATTTAAAGCTAGACTCCTGTGGGCTCAAATGGATGCCTATATTTTGTAACTACAATAAAATGTTTTTTTTTTTTTTTTTTTTTTTTTTTAATTAAAGACCAAAGCTGCTAAAGACCATGAAATCCCTGGTCACAAAAGTGATCTTTGGTTGGAGACGTATTTAGCCTATCAATCGATTGTATAACATATAATCTTGTTACGCAATGAAACTTGTCATAATGGAAGTCTGAATGCACTTCCTTGAGAATATACGGTACAGTCTCTACAACAGCAAACGTTTATTTTGGATTCCCGCAAACCTATAGGTCTAATCTCCATATGCATTTCAGCTCGGCTCATTTAATCACGTCCCATTCACCAACTTCAAAACCAGTCAGATGAATACCTTACTCAAAATACTGGCTAGCGGAATCATGTTTTTTTTTTAACATGAGGATGTTTTACATCGTTGTATTCCACTGGTAAACCGTAAACGTTTGTTTTAATTGAGAGCCTAAAACCCATCTCAGACATTTTTAAGAATATGTCATCTTTAAAGTACAGGAAATGCCACTCCGAACTGTTTTTCAAATAAACATTAATAAGCATGTACACATATAATACAAAAATATTTATTACCATAGTAAAAAGGCTTAAGATATTACCCCAGTCAGAAAATAACTCCACCAACATGAGCGTGCTTCTACTGCTGATTGCAGGTTTTGAATATTTGTTACGATTGATTTTCGATGTAAGTTCTATCCAATAATCAGTTACTGTACTGTATACTGTACTAACAGTGTCGTGCACACAACAAACGGGTGCAAGAAAAAAAACCCCAAGTTTGGGTACTGTAGAACTCAAATGATCCGTCCGATGACTTTTTGGAAGACGACATCTCTTGTTTTGTGTCTCGCATTGTACCGGTACCTTTTTATTCGAAAAGTTGGACTTGTACCAGACACGCTAAAGTATATCTCATTCACAAATTTCGTGAATATACGGTAGTTTCCGGCTTTAGGATGAAAAAGAATACTGAAGTGGGGTAATATTTTTTTGTCTGTTAGTTAAAAAGAACAAAATGTTCACTTAATGTTTTCATTTTCTTTGTTCACTAAACACAACAGAGACCAGGATGACCTATATATTTAACTAGTATAATTTCAATTAAATGTAGAATTGTAAACAATGTTATCATGTGACTTTTATGTGTAATGTTGTAAAGTCTCGTTGATTATTGTTTTTCATTTTTTAAGCCTCCAGTGCAGTGTCTGCATGTATTCTGTTAGGTCTATTTCTTGTGTTAATCATTGTATCATTTCATTTTTATGTTTCAAATGTGTCACTGATAGAGACGGTAATTATATGATGGGATAGCTGACTCTACTTCAACATAAGTCTTGTAATTTGTAGTTTCTTCATAACGTGTATTTTGATGGTGAAATGAATATTATGAGTTTTGTATGTCTAAAATTTACCACGAAAAGAAAACGATCTTTAATAATATGATTCATTTTAAGAGGTTCCAATTAAAATAATTTTTTAATCGTTTTAATATACAGTACTCAGTTACTTAGTATCCCATTTTCAAAATTACGAATCTCGTGTGGCAAAGGCTTATGCACACTCCCAAGTCAGGAGTCATCCTATCCTATACATTACAATAGTGGCTAAACAATAGCTAAACTAGAATACCGATGTACCTGTGAGGTGAGCAAACATCTTATTGAGAGAGTATACTAAAACAGTTCTTAAAATGTTTTAAATTGGTAAACTTTGCCATTAAAATATACGAAACATGTTTATTTAACACTGTATGAGCATGTGATTGTTTTAAAGAAATTGTCAAAATTATCTGCAAAAGGTAAGTCGTTATTAAAGAAAAACGAAATCTCCTCTTTTGGTCGGGATCAGTGTCAAGTTGTCTTCTAGCATTAGTTTGAGTAAAAAGATGTCATTTAGTGAAGCTTAGGTTACGACGATGTCTCATTGGTGACACTAATGCAATCATTTATTTGAGACATCATTTTGCTCTTGAAACAGTCACTTTGATCTTGTTGGAAACACAATTCCATGCGACGGTTGCACTACCTTGATTTGTTTCATTCAATGCTGCTAAACAATAATTGCAAGGAATGAAACATATGAAGCAAAAGAAGAGCAAAACAAGACACAAGATATTTTGAAGTT